AATAAGAAAAAGCAGATGTGCTTTTCAAGAACATTTAAAGGAATGATCACAACAATTGCTATGAGCGAATCCTCACCGACATATTTTTTTTCATTTGTGATGAAACAATTGAACATTTACCTATAGCAGCCTGTGAGCTAAAAAAAAAGTATTACAATTTAAATTTTTCAGTTCACGTCCCGTTTCCAGCTGAGGGTAATAAGATTACCGTTCAATGAAAACACTTTTTGTTTTACTCACAGCACTGGTCAAATGTGATGCAAACTTTAAAGCAGAGACAACCAGTGATAGACATTTTAGTCTGATCATGGGAAAATGTCATATGTTAGCTGCACCCACCAGGGATTTTATCAAGGATGAAAAGAGCAAGCAAAGGAGAAATGGTTGGAGGGAGGCTATGTTCTTTCCTCGGTGGTGTCAGTTCATGAACACGTCAATTAAATATGACGTTTTTCACGGATGAATCATCTCTGTTGTTGAGTTCTAACAGCTGCTGTGACATTTGCCCACAGCAGCTTTCTGATCGATAAAACAATATTACTTACATACCGGATGTGTGTGATTGGTTCAAGCCTTGATTCTTTGGTCCCCTGCTCGCACATTTGTGACAGTTGAGGTTTTCAATAAAATGGTGTCGAAGCAGTGAAGGGGGGGTTGCATTTAGACACTTGAGACACAACGGCGACATTTATTGTTAAATAGGAATAGTCCAATATACAATTCGCAATTCCAATGAAGTGGGGATGTGGTGTACATCAGAAATAAAGAGAGAAAACAATGGATATTCCTTAACTTATGTGGCCCCTCTCCCTGCTTTTTGGGAGTGTGTTGCACTGACTTATTCTGTTCTTGTTAAAGTGTTCTAAAAATGGAGGTGCATTGATTGGAGGAGGCTTACTATATGTAAATATTTCTACATACCATTAAGGGCATGGGAAATTAGTTTGGAAGGAGAAAACCCATCCATCCTTCCATCCAGTTTCTGATCCGCTTAGCCTCACAAGGGTCGCTGGGGGTGTTGGAGCCTATCCCAGCCGTCTTCAGGCAGCAGGCAGGTGACACCCTGAACCGGTTGCCAGCCATTCGCGGGGCACACACTGACAAACAATCATCCACGCCCACACTCACACCTCGGGACAATTTAGAGCGATCAACAAGCCTGCCATGCATGTTTTTGGAATATGGGAGGAAACTGGAGTACCTGGAGAAAATCCACACAGGCACGGGTAAAACATTCAAACTCCACACAGGGAGGCCGGAGCTGGAATTGAACCCAGTACCTCTGCACTGTGAGGCCAACACGCTAACCAGTTGAACACCGGGCCGCCGAAGGAAACAAAAACATTCTGTGAAAATCTATAATTATGTTATAGATTGAAATCATATAAAAGACATTACTCCAGTTTGTGCTTTTCTGTTTTGTAAACCAACGATTCTCTTATCATGCTGCATATGAAGCAATGCAACAATAGTCGTGTGCGCCAACCATTAAATTTTGCGACGCTGAATCAAAACCAACAAGCCTGAGCAAGATTGTAAAAGCTTGTAAACATTATCCAAGTTACACAGCAGCACACACATACACACACACACACACACACACACACACACACACACACACACACACACACACACACACACACGCACACAAACCTCAGGTAACGTTGGGTTTCAGAAAACAAGCACAAATCCAATACCGTTTTGTGAACTTTTCAAGTGCTTTCCAAAGAGCCTCAAGGTTTTGAAACATAATCAACATTGTGTTCCTGCCGATATAGTGACTCAGAGAGGCAGCAGGAGTTTGGCTGGTTTGTACTTGACTGAAAGCCATGCTGGATTGATTTCACGGTAGCTTGAAAAAGGACTGGAGAAAGCAGCCGTGCTGTGTATTTGTATAAGTATTTGGTAGCTACTAGGTAGGATACCTGTGAATACTCTCATTCATCCAGGTCATTTTATTCTCAGGGCGTTCAATCGATTGCAACTCGACTGTTCTAATTGACGTTTTGTCTCTTGGGAAGGCTAGATCAGTTCACGCATTGAGGCTTAGTTAGAACACCATGAGGGCGGCACGGTGAGCGACTGGTTAGCACGTTAGCTTCACAGTACCTGGGTACTCCGGTTTCCTCCCACCTTTCAAAAACATGCACGGCAGGTTAATGGAACACTCGAAACTGTCCCTAGGTGTGAGTGTGAGTGTGAATGGTTGTTTGTCTATGTGTGCCCCACGATTGGCTGGCAACCGGTTCAGGGTGTCCCCCGCCGACTGCCCAGACAGCTGGGATAGGCTCCAGCACGCCCCGCGACCCTTGTGAGGATAAAGCGGATCAGAAAATGGATGGATGGTTGGTTTAAAAATACATTTATTTGAATTATTTTTAAAAAGGATTGAAAGGAATTCGAAAACATTTTGACCCTTCCTCCCTGGCTTTGTTCTGTGTGAGGAGTCGGTGATGACTTCTCACACAAGCACACAGAGAACCTTGCAAACATTCGAGTGATCCACATGCACACATTGTAGTTTCTGTCAATATTTAATGTAGCCCATAATGAGAAATGCCTCCTGCTCCTAATGATTCAGAGGGAATGTGTACACTGTATCTATTTTAAAAATGATTCCTTTTGGCTCTGCCCACATCAGTGACAACAGTTACGTGATTATCAACTGGAAGGCAGTCAAACACAATTATTACAACGTGCAAATTGAGACAAACTGTGTTTCCTCCAAACTGTGAAAACTAAACAAAAAGAAAAGTCACAGTTCTATCTTGACTATTACGTGTTTCAATTCTGTAGACTTGGAAAATCAAATGACACAAAAATTTGTCTAATTCATCTGAATAAAAAAATAAAAATAAAATAATAATAATACAATCCTTGCCTCTCAGCTCTACTGACAAACTACAATGTAGCTTTATCTCATGATCAGCATACACAACCATTCTTAAATTCTATTGCCAGCAGTATGAACAGCATTAAAAAGGTCATATAGTTCATCACACATAAACCGAAAAAGATGTCAGAGTTCCTGAACCAGTGCTGCAGTCAGTGGAAGAGAAACAAAGAAAAAACAGCGAGGTTCTAAATAAGCAATTTTGCATCACCTTTGGCAAGTGAAAATTAGCATTTTGCGCATTACAGCAAAGCAAAATTGCTTCGGGGCCGGCATTTATGTGGCAAAACACAGAGCTGCCAAATGTTGCAGAAATCACAGAGTGAACGCTAACGTTACACCCATAAAACATCAAGATATTTAAAAAAAAATCATCAGATGGCAGCAGCTACCAAGGGCTTGGTTTCCCTCCGCACGCTCTGTGCGGCATTTTGGAAGGCGGGGAAACTGCAGCATCGGTCTGTGAGGGAAGAGAGCCCATCTCGTGTGAGCCTTCGCGCCAAAATGAAAAATAGTTCTTTGATGTACGTATGGAGGTGTCGACAGTGATTGTGCGGTGTAATTCACAGGGCCGAGCCCCTAATCACACACTTAATGTTCATGACGGGAGAACTACTTTCCAACTATTTGTAACATGTTGATAAAAGTGTTCACACAATCGCGACTACAATGCAAAAGAGATGAACGAGAACTTCATCTCGATAAGTCACGTAGTGTTTTTGTTGATCTGCGCGTGTAACACTGCTGTAAAGCGGCCGTTCTGATTCACGAAGCGGAGCATATAAACAGCATATCAGAATTGATCACGTCACACACGAACATGTGACCAGAGATTTTCAGTCGGAATCATTTCAATCGGAATGTCCAAAAAGCTTCCATGTCAAACCAGCTCAGCCCAGCGCAGGGGCCAGTGGGTTGTGTAATTGAGACCACTTTGAAATCAGTTACAATTATCTGACAGCTGAAGTGATGAATATTTACCACGGATGATGTTTAACTTTTTTTTTTACCAACAAAAAAAATAAATAAATAATTTGCATGAGCAAAAGTCATTTCAAAACACTTGATCTGAAATTAAAGAGAGCATTAATCAACATTTAATATCGTTGAATTTTTCAACTGTTTACTCTTGAGGGTGTCTTAATTTTAGGGCCTTTCACACTTCCATAACTTGTACTAGTATAAAGAATGTTTCTCTTCTTCCTAGTTAGTTGGTCTAAGATCATAAACGCGGACCCATGAACCTACACGACTGGATTATGTCGCATGTTAAAATGCTAGCAGCTCAAATGAAGTAACACAAAGGCTCTTTAAGCCTTTTTGTATTCAATGCCTTATGTTTTGATACAAGAAATGCTGAGTTTGTTTACATTTATATTTGTTTGAAATCGCCCCACTGAAAATATTCCTTGACAACATACAGTTTGCTGCTATGCACAGTGTGAATTTAAAAAAGAAAGAATTAGGAAAAACTGCTGATTATGAAAAAGGAAACAAATTGGTTGCTCGTTATAAAATCAAATATATTAAGTAAAACTATCATTTCTGAATACGCGGTTATTCTATGGAATTTTCAGTAGGATACTTGAATACTGAAATATTTACTACCCCCACATTCAACCACCCCATTATATTATCCCTTGCTGCAGGTCCCTGACCTTAGCTAATCAAATATACTATGAGTAAACTTTTTTTACACTAAATTGGAGGCAGTGTACTTTAAGTGTACTTTTTCGATACTATATTTTTATAAGTATACAGACAGATGCTTGGAATACACTTTCAAATTTGTATTTGTTCCATTTTAGTATGAAAAAGTACACTTCATATACTTTATAATGTATACTTCATATATGCTCCTTTTTTGTAAGGGTGGGATTAACCTGCAAAAAAAAAAAAAAGCTCCAGAAAAATTCGGCATTTGCTGCTCAATTGAACTCAGTGATGAGTAAAATTGCTCCTCAAAGACAAAAAGTTATTTTGAGCCTCTAACAGAGAGGCTTGCAAAAGGAATTCTTTAACTAAATATGTCACTGATACTGATGTATATATGTGTGTGTGTGCGTGTACGTGTGCGTGCGCGTGTGCGTGTGCGTGTGTCCTTCAGATGATGGTAAACTCTCTCTAGATGAGTTCCAGGCGTTCTTCTCTGACGGCACGCTTAACGAGGAAGAGCTGGAGAAGTTGTTTCATACCATCGACTCTGATAACACCAGGTGAGAACAAATTACCGCCTGCCTTTTTGAGTGCCCTCACACTTTGTCCAGTTGTTTTGTCCTACTTTGAAGCACAATAATCTTATTGTCGAAATATTCATTTGGCCTTCTGTCACGTTGCGAGGTGGTGGTGGACCCAAAAAGCAGGCAAGAGGGAGGAGCAGGGTGTATTTGAAGAAGTGTATTGATAAAACACAGAAAACGAAATCCAAAACAAACAAAGTCCAAAGTATCAAACAAAAACCATGACTGAAGCTCAAAACTATCAATAACAAAAACATGACCATCTAAACATGACTGACAAACAAACATGACAGCAGCAAAAAGCAACAATGACCCGACAATGATTGCTCGGGCTGGGAGTCCTTTTAAAGCCACTAATTACCTAATGACCAACAGGTGTGCAGCTGCAGGGAGAGCCCTACAGTGCCACCTGTTGGTCCCAAACCGAATCATGACACCTTCAGGCTCCGTTTCCTTGGGCGACGCATTGTGATACAACACGCACGCGCTGACATACATGATCTGAATGTGTCTTTGGCGTCTTGAGTTTGAAAATTAAAATTAGACGTTGCTTTTTTAAAACTTTGTTTTTAGTAAGTAGGTGGTATTTATTAATCAAGCTGCATAAATAGGATTTTAAGGTGGCAGCAGAAAGCAGGTTGAGTGAAGGCACTGCCGTGGCATGATGATTATTTTTTTTTTCATCAGTATCATCATGAAGTATCTGTATCTCTGTCAACGCAAGCTAAGTGTTGTCCCTTATGTTTTGGCTACGCTTGCTACAAAGTGAAACATTGATTTGTTTTCACACTTTTCCCCTTGTTTTTCCACTGTGATGATTAAATCAGTCATTATTCAGTCATTTGCAGTTGCTCCTTGTAGACCTCCTTGATTGGCTCTCATTAAATCAATGTATGGACCAGATATGGCGAGCTAATCAAGCCCATCTATTCTGCAATCAGGAGAAGTGATTGTGAGTGCCTCTTATCAGCATTGGCCTTGAACATTTCCACAGCAGCCATACCTTTAAGCGTCAAAAATTCATAAACGAAGCCAGGCAGACCAGAACCTTATCGCTATTGTTGTTTAAGTTTAGAAATAATATTATGCGTGCAACAGTACTAATCGTGACGACACGTCATATTTGTCAGCGTGATAAATGGCGATGCAGACTCATGGCATTCCCATTAACACATTTCGCTGCTTGGAGCAGGTGTATTATTCATCTACTCCTTTGCGGTGGTCGCAGACATGAATGATACTACACATTAATTTAACCGAGCATGACATCACACACAGGTTCCCATGTAAACGCTATAAAAGTGTTGATTTGCTCAAGTAAAACCTGAAATAAAAGTGTCGGCATTTCTAGAGACAGCAGGAGGCTGATAAATGGTTTAATGAAGAGGGATGAGCGTAGTGTATTTGAAGAAGTGTATTGATAAAACACAGAAAACGAAATCCAAAACAAACAAAGTCCAAAGTATCAAACAAAAACCATGACTGAAGCTCAAAACTATCAATAACAAAAACATGACCATCTAAACATGACTGACAAACAAACATGACAGCAGCAAAAAGCAACAATGACCCGACAATGATTGCTCGGGCTAGGAGTCCTTTTAAAGCCACTAATTACCTAATGACCAACAGGTGTGCAGCTGCAGGGAGAGCCCTACAGTGCCACCTGTTGGTCCCAAACCGAATCATGACACCTTCAGGCTCCGTTTCCTTGGGCGACGCATTGTGATACAACACGCACGCGCTGACATACATGATCTGAATGTGTCTTTGGCGTCTTGAGTTTGAAAATTAAAATTAGACGTTGCTTTTTTAAAACTTTGTTTTTAGTAAGTAGGTGGTATTTATTAATCAAGCTGCATAAATAGGATTTTAAGGTGGCAGCAGAAAGCAGGTTGAGTGAAGGCACTGCCGTGGCATGATGATTATTTTTTTTTTCATCAGTATCATCATGAAGTATCTGTATCTCTGTCAACGCAAGCTAAGTGTTGTCCCTTATGTTTTGGCTACGCTTGCTACAAAGTGAAACATTGATTTGTTTTCACACTTTTCCCCTTGTTTTTCCACTGTGATGATTAAATCAGTCATTATTCAGTCATTTGCAGTTGCTCCTTGTAGACCTCCTTGATTGGCTCTCATTAAATCAATGTATGGACCAGATATGGCGAGCTAATCAAGCCCATCTATTCTGCAATCAGGAGAAGTGATTGTGAGTGCCTCTTATCAGCATTGGCCTTGAACATTTCCACAGCAGCCATACCTTTAAGCGTCAAAAATTCATAAACGAAGCCAGGCAGACCAGAACCTTATCGCTATTGTTGTTTAAGTTTAGAAATAATATTATGCGTGCAACAGTACTAATCGTGACGACACGTCATATTTGTCAGCGTGATAAATGGCGATGCAGACTCATGGCATTCCCATTAACACATTTCGCTGCTTGGAGCAGGTGTATTATTCATCTACTCCTTTGCGGTGGTCGCAGACATGAATGATACTACACATTAATTTAACCGAGCATGACATCACACACAGGTTCCCATGTAAACGCTATAAAAGTGTTGATTTGCTCAAGTAAAACCTGAAATAAAAGTGTCGGCATTTCTAGAGACAGCAGGAGGCTGATAAATGGTTTAATGAAGAGGGATGAGCGTATGGAACAACTTGCCACCTCTCAGCCTTCATACATTTTGTCTATGTCAGTCATTCTTCCAACCATCACCAATTGCAATAGAGGGGTTAACACAGGGGTCGGCAAGCCAAAATGTTGAAAGAGCCATATTGGACAAAAAATACAAAAAACAAATATGTCTGGAGCCGCAAAAAATTAAAAGCCTTATATAAGCCTTACATTGAAGGCAACACATGCTGTATTTATTTATTTATTTATTTTTCACGACACCCACCTGCCTGGCACCCCGTCCTGCTAATAGAAACGTGTGTCGCAGGCTATGACGCAAATCCTCGTTGACAGAAATATTGACATTTAATATTTATTCTACACATGTGTAAAGCATTGGAAAATGTTAAGAATGTTTGTGTCATGTTTGTCCTCCTACAGAAACCATATTAAGACAAAAAATATATTTCCCTCCCCCATCTTTTTCCATTTTCAAAATTTTTGAAAAAGCTCCAAGGAGCCGATAGGGCGGCGCTAAAGAGCCGCATGTGGCTCTGGTGCCGCAAGTTGCCGGTTAACAACATACGTATTTGATGATTTGTTGCAGTCATTAAGAGATTGCCACCTTTCTTGTATTTCACTCAAATGACAAAAGTGACTGTGCAATAATCATTACAATAATGTCATTTTTGGTGTGGGTGGGAGAAAAATGGCAATATTATGGTGCAACATATTTTGTTTTTTGTTTTTTTGTTAACGGTGAATATAGTTAATTAAGAATGATGAAGTGACGGAACTTTGCTCTTTGCATTCTCCCACCATCAAAGTCTTTTCTTTTTGACTCAAATGAAAAAAAAGAGACATTAGCACTTTTATTCAGCTTTGTACCAATATCGGGTCTTCCTCTTACACTCCACACACATTGTGGAAATGGATTGCAGTTTCTTGTGTTTTTTTTTTTTTTTTTATCCAACCATCCTAACAAGTCACAAACTCAAATGGTGTCAAATACAACTCATATCACATTTTGTGCTAATAATCTTGGATGTTGCGAATATAACCTGAGGTAAATGCCATGCGCTCTTGGTGCTCCACAACCACTCTCGGCCTGGATCAAATTACAATACTATAATTACAATATTTACTTCTCCAAGTGGCTTCATTCCCCTCTGAATTAGCAAGGAAAAAGTAATTTTATTTTTGGAGCGTTCACGGCATTTGTATAATTTACCAACCATCATTCAGGCACTGAGCAGATGGTGTCTTTCTTTCCATCTCCTCCTCTGCCTCGTTATCGGCTACAATTTCTCAGTCTTTGGCTCTGCTTGAATTCTTTTTGGTTTTTTATCTTTCCATCCATGCTTCATCCCTGTTGATCACTTTCTTCCCTGCTCCACCAGACACACAACCAACCAGACCTGACTCTTGCCAAGTGTGTGTGTTTGTATTTGATATTGAATGCAAAAGCCTGTTCTTTTCTAAGCCCACTCTTGTTCTTCCTTCCCTCTTTCCTTCCTACCTTTCCCACGGTCTCCTGTGATGCGATAGTAATGTTGACACTAAGGAACTTTGTGGTAAGTACTATACTTTGTATATGCGCACACACACACACACACACACACACACACACACACACACACACACGCACACAAATGCTTGCTTCACTTCGATCAGGGGTGTCCACAACTATTCCACAGAGGACTGCATATAGAAAAATCTTTGGGGGTCAATTTGACACTCTTCACATTCAGTTCAACAAATGCACTAAAACCATTCCATCAGCGGACGTAAAGGTAAGCAAAGCAAGTCTATATTGTTTTGACAAATATTATCTGTATTGGTTTTTGTTGTGTGAATCCTAGTAGAATAGAGCCATTGCACTGGCTACTAGCCGTACTCATCAGTAGCATAACCACATCTTCACGTGCGAAAACAAATAGAGCAAAGTGTACCAAGCTGACTATATTTAAAATAGTTTTCACGTTGTTAGATTTTGTCACATAGAGTAGCAGTAGTAGGAGCAGTAGATGCGATTGCCTTTGGGTCACTTTAAGCTTTATGGTAAGTCATAAAATGTGTTGTTCCAATTCTTCAGTTCAAACAACTTCTGCAGAACATAAATAGTGTACAGTGAGCAAATTACAACACTCCATTAAAAAGAGATACATGTTTTGCTGTTGGCATAGTTCACGGCAGATGAGTGGCCAGTAAACCGTGAAGTCATCAGTGTGTGTTGGAAAGCTACAACTCTGCCCAAGAAAACCATGTTACCTTAGATGTGTGTAAAAAGACAGAGGTCAGAAGGTACTACAGTAATCCCTCGTTTATCGCGGTTAATTTTAATGGGGACCAAAACTACCCTCGACAAACGAAAATCCGCAAAGTAGCAAGCTCCATATAGGTACATGCACATAATGTTTATAAGGCCAAATTTAATGGTATACATGCATGTAGAAGTAAATTTTGAAGTAATTAACATGCCTTAATGCTGTATACTAATAGATTTAAACATGTATAAGTTAGGTTAGTTTATGAATAACAAAATACAGTAAACATAATACAAAAAAAAAAATGTCCGCAAAAAGTCCGCAAGAAGCTGCGAAAGTCAGCAAAGTCAGCAAAACAACAGCGAGTCACATAGAGCAACATATACAGTACTGTACTACATGTATATGAAAAAAAAATATATATATATATTTTTTTTTTTAATGAATATGTTTGAAAAAATCCGCGATGCACTGTAGCCATGATAAACGAACTGCGAAATAGCGAGGGATCACTGTAAAATGTCTGACTTGGGCAATAAAATTTTCAAGTGTCATTGCTGGTTCAGTGGTTATTATGACACTCCTCTTCTTCAAGGTCTTCTCCTCTTTCTAAAAGATTCTTAAAACATGTTGCCAATTGCCCAATACACACGTCGACAAAATCGTTGGTTTCTCTTTCATTCAAGGAACAGGCATGGTAAAGTGTTTGGTCAGAGAAATGACTTAAAAAGAGCAAAAGTAATAATGAATAAAGGTTTGCTTAAAATCGACTAATCAGGCATTGCTTCTATCAGTGCAGTGATGCTGTCTTGAATGGTACCAATCATTTTTTACGCATATATTTTTGTGTTCAGACTACTTTGCCAAGCACATGGGGGACTACGAAGGAGTTCTGGCCTCACTGGAGACACTCAACCTTTCCATCCTCAAAGCCATGGACTTCACCAAAAAGGTAATACAAGTGTCTGATGCTTTCAGTATGCATAGCATGATTGTTTGTTTGTGTTTAATCACTTCTTTTGATTCGATTGTCTTCGTTTTCCTGTCTATGGCCTAGACCTGTGAAAATATAAAACAAAGCAAAACACCCAAACAGCCCACTGTATAATGAATGCTCTTATACACCACATGACCACCACAGATCTGATAAGTGTTCGAGTGAACAAAGGAAAAATTGTACTCCTTACAAACTGTTCAAACCCCCTGACAAGGTTTCAACTCATCACTCCACCTTCTCGGGACTCCCTTTTCGGGACAACAGCATGCCCTGCTCCTCCTATGGGAACATCCTCTCAGCCTTGTGTTTCACACCTCTAATGGCCCTAAAACAGAAAAAAAACAATTCAATGCGCAGCACAGGGAAAGTGTAGTCACGCTTGCTCTTCTCACTGCCGCCGTAGAGTGCAAAGACTGAAAAAAAAATGCAAAATCCCAAATCATACCCAAACTGTATTTACCACACGCTTCTCACGCTTCGCAGTCAGTAATGACATGCATTCGCATTGCGGACGACTGGAAAATATCCAATATACATTTTGTCTTTTGAATGTGCGTGTGCGTGTGCGTGTGCGTGTGCGTGTGTGTGTGTGTGTGTGTGTGTGTGTGTGTGTGCGTGTGCGTGTGCGTGTGTGTGTGCGTGTGCGTGTGTGCGTGTGTGTGCGTGCGTGCGTGCGTGCGTGCGTGCGTGCGTGCGTGTCTGTGAGTGCGTATTGTGTTTTGTGTAGGGTGTGTTTGTGCATGGCAGTCAGCTATCCTAGTTTTTCCCATGAGCTATATATAGCAGCAGTGCCACAGCAGCCTCCCATATCCAGCAGACGCTATTGTCGTTGCCTGTCCTTTGGCGTGTGCATCTGGGAGAGGCAGTGTCCATTGTCTCGGGTCTGCTCTTATGTCTCCATATCTCCAGCTACCAGCTCCATCTTAATCTCTCAGCTCGAGGCTACACCACAGCATGGATCCATACACACAGGCACAAGCAGTACAAAATGTACCATAAACACAGTGATGTGAGGAGGCCCAAGTATCGCGGACTTATTGAGTTTTAGATTTTCCTATTGCAAACGTATCTCTTTTATTCTTTGTTTCGCTTCCGCTGACTGCATCACTGGTTCACCAGTCAGGAGAATTGACATGTTGCTCAGTTTAATTGTGATGAACTGTGTCAATTTTAGTCATTCATACTGCAGACCATATGAGAATGTTGATCATGAACTAAAATTATATTATAGACAGGGCTGGTATTAGTCACTACAGTTTTTCAATCATTTTTTTTCAATCAGGTAAATTGGTGAATTATGATTTTTTTGGGGTGGTCTACACTTCAAATCTGCTGGTGTTAATTCAACGCAGTAAGTTGTTGATTTTAACACTGGCAAAGTGTCGCTATGCATTCACGCTGCCCGGTGTCAAAGTAACATTTCCTTGAAGTGTTAAATGTTCAACACTAAATAGTGTGTTACAGTAACAAAAATTAGTGTTGACAGTGCAATAATAATGACAGTAATGAGCATTTATATCAACACTCATGAGTGTTGATGCCAACACGATATAATGTGGGGAAAAATTCTCCATGCCTTCCTTAAATTAAAGACAACATATTTTCACTTCAAAACACTTTTGTTCAATGCATTTCAGACAGCTCATATGAAACAGCAGTAGGGCAAACTTTCTGTTCTTTCATCAATTTCATGTTGAAACTGCCCATTATGCCAATGATAAAATCTGGTCAGACACACCAACACAGTGAACAAATCCTCCTCAATTCTAAATGCATTCAGGTAATCATCAAAAGTAATAACATTTGTCGTGAAAAGAAATGCTTTATCTTCAAGAAGAAATTTACAGTTTCCATGAAAGTAGGGAATTCATTTTTAGTACCCACACAAACAATGGCATTTAGTTCAATAGTTTTCATCCAGAAGGTAGTGGCAACACTAATCACCCCCTGGTCTGAATAATCTACCTGTCATCTCTCTGTGCATGAATGTTTCCTTCATTTTGACGATTTGAGAATCTACTGGTTGGCCAAATGTTTCATCATGGACATGCATTCATCATCTGATATCTGCTCAGATTTTGAGTGGTCTTGCAAACTCCTTCAAAATCACACGTCAGAAAAACGGACAGAAGAATATGGACACAAAACAATTAACATTACAGCCTCAAGTCCCTTTCCTGTAGGTCTACATGGGCAAATGAGAAAACCTGAGAGGTTTGTGGAGCTCAATACTCACATAAGTTGGTGAGGCCTTGTCTTCCTGTTTGGGGAGGAGTGTGACAATTGTACAGACATTGCGGACATCAACTTTTCACACGAACACTTCAATGCAATCAAATTCCTTCAAGAACACTTTTCATATAACCGTATTTACAAAATATGTTAGGGAGAATAGGCATATTGCTGTGTCTAGCAGCTGACAAATGCCGCTCATTAAACTGAATGGAATCAGTCAGAGGCTCTACTCACCACTCCAAAAGAAGTCACTTGCAACTGGTCATTCTGGCTGCCTACACCCATTTCAACCAAAACATGTTAAATACTGTGACGGTGAACCCGACTGCCCGTGCAGCCCATGTGACCATGTGACATCACATGAAATACATGTAGTGGCAAAATGTTTTCAACAATATGAAATCGAAACCTCAAATGGAAAACAAGTTATGAGGCGCGGTGGTCGACTGATTTGCACGCCGGCATCACAGTGCAGAGGTGCAGGGTTTCTCTAAGCAGTGCACCACAGAATTTGCAGTGTTTCCGCTTACATTAATGGCAAATTAATTCCTCATGGTATTTCAAAAACAAACTTCATTACTAATGAGTCTGCCCTGTCCAAGACCGAGACAAGACAGAGTAAAAATGGCTTTGATTCCGAGATGAGACCGAGACCTTTAAAAAGTGACCCTGAGAGCCGTCTCGAGACCAAACTGATCTCGAGAAGTACAACGCTAGCGACCCCTGCCCAAAAAAATACAGTTTGGAGAAAAAAAGGTTTGTCTCAATCAGCATCCTGAAAGATATGTGTGCGACTGACTTCCAACTGTCAATCATATAAATGTTCTTCCCAGCGATGTGGGCAGAACGTAAAAGAATCATTTTAAAACATAGGATTCCTCTGCCTCTCAATGGTGAGCAAATCCACCATTAATGAAAGCACCTCAGAGGAGAGGTGACTGTTTTTGTGAGTTTTGTTTATATTCTGTACCGTTTCATTATTGTGACAAAATCCATGAAACACTGGAAAAAAACTCCAAATTGATACAGATGTGTGAGGGGATGGTGGGATGTGGTGGTGTTAAAAAGATGGAGAGTGTTATTAGTCGTGTAAAGTCTCCAGACTGTGCCTGAGCCGCTTAGCCGTTCAGTGCGTTTTGATTAGGGGAATACATATGGATATATGAGAGAAAAAAAAGAGTGAAACTGGAAGGAATTCACTGTGCAGTTAAGTCTTGTTTAAACGCGGCTCAGTACTGTAATGCGTAAAAAGAAGAAGTCAAATTTTGTGAGTCTATATACAGGTATGTGCAATCACTGAATATCTAATCTGATGCAGGTATTAGTTTTGGGAATGGGAATTTACAGCGTGGTGCCATAATTTTTATCCCTCGGACTTCATTACAGAATAAAAAAAAAAAAAAAAAAAAAAACAACAAAAAAAAACCTATTTACATTTCTTACTGTTGACATTTTTTTCTTAAAGCCAGAACGTTTGTATTTGAAATGCCTTTAGGTGTGCTTTTTTTTTCAACAGAACTAACCAACCGAATGAACGTTTTGTTTTTTTTTGTTTGTTTGTTTTGTATTTTTTTTCAAAGCCTTTGTTTTGTTGGTCCAAGTGGGGGTAGAATGGGAAATTGGATGACTGGAAACAAAATAAAGAAAACACCAAAATCAATGGGTTTTTTTGTAGAACATATGGGACAATGTGTTCCAACCCTCATCTATGGTCACGAGCGATGGGTCGTGACCGAAAGAACGAGATCCCGGATACAAGCGGCCGAAATGAGCTTTCTCCGCAGGGTGTCCGGGCTCTCCCTTAGAGATAAGATGAGAAGCTCGGTCACCTGGGAGGGGCTCAGAGTCGAGCCGCTTCTCCTCCACATCGAGAGGAGCCAGATGAGGTGGCTTGGGCATCTGATTCGGACGCCTCCTGAACGCCTCCCTGGTGAGGCGTTCCGGGCATGTCCCACCGGGAGGGACCCCGAGGACGACCCAGGACACGCTGGAGAGACTATGTCACCCAGCTGGCCTGGGAACGCCTCGGGATCCCCCGGGGAGAGCTGGAAGAAGTAGCTAGGGAGAGGGAAGTCTGGGCTTCCCTGCTAAAGCTGCTGCCCCTGCGACCTGGCCCCGGATAAGCGGTAGAAGATGGATGGATGGATGGATATGGGACAATTTGCTTTGACAAGTCAATAAATATTCTGCTGTCACATAGTGGTTTGAGGGGACGCAGAAACATGATTTCTTCAACACAGCTGATAAAAACATGATTTATTGGCATTACTTTCAGTCGGATGTCATCTTGATGACATTTCCTCTTTGGAGTGACAGATTGCCACTTATTGTTCGAAGAGCTTTACTCCACTGTAGTCATTTTAATCTACAGTATTTGGATCTCTGAGAACACTCATTTCATTCAATGTGGAGGACAACTATTGTCCAAATAATCACTGCTTACGATGTAAGCGAAGACCATCTTTTGACAATGAATTTATTTGTTCGAGAAACATTTTGAAAACATTTGCCACAAAATTTCCACTTAATGACGGGACTTTTTCACCCCTCAGACATCAAACGTCATTAACAAACACATTTTCTCCAACGATAGAGCAAGAGCGTCAAACTCTTTCAGCCCTTCATCCCTTTCTTTTTGTGAAACTATTTATGTCAGAGGTTGTTCTGGAAAACAATTTTAATTGGCTCTGTAGAAGTGGATTTAAGTATAAGTGCCCTCG